TAAATTTTTAATAGGGCATTCCCACATACAACTTTCTGCGACGCGACACGCGATTTGCGACAGTTGCGACAAGAAACTGCCTGTCGCGAGCTGTCGCAAGCTGTCGCAATGCACCTGTCGCAGAAGTTGAAGAAAGTTCAACTTTTGCGACATGCGACATACACAAATGGAGTACAGTTTCGACCCTGGGTGCACGTGCAGTGCACGTGCATAGTAGTACTACTTGTGCATGATATGATCAAGAGTCCATAACCCCCGGGGGGGGGGGTTATGGACTCTTGATATGATGCATCGATGAGGATGTCGCAAACATGAAGAATAATTATTATTGTGAACCGTGTGGAATTATGCGAAAAATTTTGCTAGCATAATCCGTCAAGGCCTAGTTTTGTGTGAAATTTTAATTTTCAGCTATCACATTTCGTTAATTTCTTACTTTTTAGACGGGGTCTATGGAGTAGAACACAATAACTTTTTTTTAGAAAACTGGCATAAAGCAGTTTTTATTGCAATGTACAGGGACTCGAGGAGATGATACAGCACCGCCTTTTGTGCAGTTTTAGTTGCGTGGGACCCCGCTACCCTGCCTAAACATATCGCGCGGGCTGCGGGGACTACTGCGGCGCATGCGCACGTACTTGGTCTTGTTCGGGCCTGAAAGTTGGCATGTTTTTTTTGGTTTCCGTCTGCTCATGTTCCTCTCTTCGACTGCAATCGTTTGGCATAAGAATTACCCGCAGAAGATGATGAGCACGATGGCAATGTCACGGCCTGTGTTTAGGCACCGGCGGATTATGCCGGCATAATTGTAGGCATAATTTGGTGGATGAAAATTTGGAGCATAATTTGGCATCCTTTCGGAGCTAGGAGCATAACTACACGATTATACCACAGTTGTAGTATGTAGGCTATACAATTGTGTACAATGCACCTGATCAGCGCTGGTGGTCTGCATGGTAAAGGGTTCGGAGGTCATGCACACAGTGTTTTCAATGAACAGCAGGGTAGAAATCATGGCAATACAGTCACGGTATTGTATGCTCGAGCTCGTCTTCTTCAAAGTTCTTTCTCACACTGACACAGTACATGTAGCAGAAGATGCGAGTGAATCAGCCTTCATCAGGTATCCCGTAGTGGACGAGATAGTGGCGGGTAGTTTCGCAAAACTCCGTGTACATGTACATGTACATTACATTTGTACATTATGCATGTTACGAAGTCATGACCTCTGGTAGTCTGGATTTTAGCAGCCATGATATGACTGCAGGCTATGGATATTGCTCGAAATTGATGTATAGTTGATGTTCGGTCATGATGGAAGGAGAAGTGGAGCTACGGGAGAGATGAGCTGATTATTCGCAGGGTGAGGGTGACATAGGTTGGACAAGTATGATGATTATGAAGACCGTGAGTTGAACATGATAATCTTCAAAGATAACTCAAACTAATTTGGCAATGAAATAATATTTTTACTGAAGTACAAAATAAATCAAGTGATGAATAGAAGAAGTAATGTTTTCTCTTTTCCAAGTTGATCTCTAACATGCATGGACACCTTGCAGCTTGGTATGGGGATACTCATGTACATGTATTTTGTTGTACTTATGGCCACTTGCAACTTGCAAGTACGAAAAAGGCACAATTTTCCGAACTTTGAGGCTCCATAAGTACAACAAAGTGAATATAATATCCCCGGTGCCAAAGCATAATATGAGGATTTTACGAGCATAATGCGAGAATCCATGAAAGCATAATTCCATGATTTCGCGAGCATAATCCGCCTGAGCCTACCTGTGTTCCCATCCTTCACTTTGCTGACGGCTGTGATTGGAGTTTTGGCGGCTTGTACGTTGCTTGATGTGCGTGCTGCTACCAGTGACGAGGCCTACAACTACGAGTCGTACAAACAAAGGAAGCAAACTTGCCAAACGGCGTTCCCTGCATTCGGCTTGTCTCTACCCATCTGCAGACGCTATTGTGGATATCTCAGCTCTTGTGATCATGGAGGATATTGCAACCCCGGGGGAGATTGCCTGTGTCCACCCAGATACCGTGGTACACAGTGCAAGACAGATCGCTGTTCTTCAGGAACATGTTACTGTCCTCGCGGTCTGACAGGAAAAGACTGTACGGAACCTGTGGGATGCACGCAGGCATGTTTGAATGGTGGAACCTGCATCAGTGAGACTGACCAATGTCTATGTCGACCAGGATGGACAGGAGGAAACTGTGGCCAGAGTGCGTGCGCGAAGCAGTGTGCAAACGGGGGCTCCTGCGTGGGCACTAATAGCTGCCAATGCCAAGTCGGCTGGGCAGGTGATCAATGCCAGACTAGCCTATGTACGGCAGGGTACTGCCAGAATGGCGGTTCCTGTATAGGTACTCACCTGTGTCGCTGTCGCAAAGGATTTACAGGGTCACGATGCGAGAACAAAGCCCAGACCATGTGTACATCAACAACAACGGGACGTGTCAGCTCTTGGGTTGCACTCAACTCCTCAATGGCTTTGTCACCGGCAGCACTTGCTTGTGTGGAAAGAGGATTCGATCTGATGAATTTCAAAGCATTCATCATGGAGATTCGACCCTGTGTGGAAGACTTACTCATGCTCATGCTTAAGTCGCATAGCTTTGGAAGAAGACTGTCACTGTGGACATCACACATTCATCTACACACGCGCGTCGTTTACCATCACGACGTCCATCAGCATAGAAGTGTGAGCCTTGTACCACCAGAGCATACACTTTCCCCTCACTTGCGCTACGATGTGTTGTGCTCCGGGTTCTGGCAGATCAGCACAGGTCAGGGTTTCTCCATTGCCAGATTGCACAAGGCTGCCCGCAAGGTCACACCAGAGCACGGTGAGACGGCATGTCACTCAATTGGCCATTATTTCCCTCCCATGAACATCCTAAAGGCTATGCATGGTGACTTTGAAAGGGAATTAAACAGTATTCTTGGTCACACCGTCAGTGGAATGTCCTGGCTTGGAGCACTGTCCTCGACATCTCCCAGCCGCATAGTGCTGCTGGAACATAAAACTACTGAACAGTGGCTACTAGATGGTTCATCCTTTGCCACTCCTTCTAACCACTATTCCCTGCTTTGTTTTAAGCTGTGCGTGAATGGAAGCTTGAATTCCAAATCGGGTCACTGTGATTGCTATATTGGCTATACTGGAGAGCGTTGTGAAAACAGAATACTCTGCAAGAATGGAAATTTCAATTCAACATCGGGTCACTGTAATTGCAGTACTGGCTATACAGGAAAGCTGTGTGAATCCAGCTGCAATGATGCTGGTACACTGGAGAGTGGGCAATGCAAGTGCCGGGGTAAATTCAGCGGGCCGCAGTGTCAATATGTGAAGTGTGACTGCGGTGAAGGATGTAAGTATCACAAATCTTCCGCGTATCTTGGCGAAGCCTATGAAAGTACAAGCAAAGAATGCAAATGTGATGATAACTCTGGCCAGTTCAACAAACCGTGCGATGTGAATAGTTGTAATATCGCATGTGGTCCCGGACGGACGTGCTGGATCACGAAAGCATTCCACGAGATTGGCCGCATTAAGAGCACGGACCAATGGCAATCATGTTGGTGACGTTAGTGCAGCGTCTCACTTGCTGTTGTTTACTTAATGACAGTACCGACAGACTGCTGTGTGATGTTAGTGCTGATCAGGGATATCAGACGTGTATCAGGACTCTGGAGCATTTGAAAGTCGAAACAGACTGCTGGCATGTTGTGACTAGTGATGTGATGACAAATTCCACCCTCCAAGAAACTCTCAAATCCCAGCGGCAACACAACAAGTGAAGATGATTCCACTACCTTGTGCAGCCCTGGTCAATTGCTGTCCAGTTTGTTCTGTATTGGCCTTTTCTTTCCTCCCATCCTGTTTGCTCTTGTCTTTCCTTTTCCTTTGTCTTTGTCTTTCATTGCAAGCTGGGCCGTTGTGATTCCTTTAAAACTACTTGTAAGTTAGAAGGAAACAGTGCCAGGTTCTGTCAAGATTCTGTGAAATGAAATGAGTTGTGAATTTGCAGTGCCCAGGGAATGAGCACGTGTGCTCACCAATTCTCTTTGAGTTACGAAGCTGCAGGACGCCTCACCCCTACTACATTAGTGCCAGGTTGTTTGCAGAATTACTCCATTTCCCCGAATATAGTCGCACCTTTTTACACTAAACTTCAGGGCCATCAAAAGTAGATAATCAAGCGAGGTACAGAGGGCTTGATGGCTGATCAAAGCCCAAGGGTCCAGCCCGAGGGCCGTAGGCCCAAGGGCTGGGCCCGAGGGCTTTGATCAGTCATCAAGCCCGACTGTACCTCGCTTGAATATGCTTCAGACGATCCCCAACATTTTTTTTGATTTTGAATCAAACTCGCTTCATTCTTTGGGTGATCTCGAGTGTGGACAATGTCGGCCTTTCCTTTGGGATTTCAGAGCAGCCTGAAGTCTAAAGTGCATGTTGTTTTCGTCCCGTTCGTAAGTTTCACACAGAGATTACAGCAAAGGGAAAGTAATGTCAGTGGACGAAAAACCTGTTTCGTGAGAAATTTCTCAGGACTACGTGTCAAGAGCCAGACGTGGCTGAAGAGTCACGGAAGTATTTTCACTTCCACCATACACGCCTTGCTCACGCTGCATACTGCTGAGAGTTCTGCGGTGCTGGAGCTAGATTTCCAACTCCACAAGTTGAGAGCCACCGCATCAACGACCACCACCCCTATCGGTTTCTTGTTCTCATAGCCAGATCACCTTGAAAAGACTGAGATTGGGCATGATCAGGGCTTTGATGGTTTTGTCGTACAGTTGCCAATGGCAGCGGGCTTCGATGGTTTTCTCGTACAGGTTGTCAATGACAGCGGGCTTTGATGGAATATCAAAGCCCGCTCTCCGAGGCTGCTGATTGGTCGTAACCTAGCAAAGGGCACGTGGGTCGTTTGAAGCCTAGTTCACATTCGACGCAACGCCGACGGTACGGGACGTAAAGGCCGATTCATACTTCATTTTTTGCGACGCGAAAGCGCGATGCGAAAGTGCGAAATGTCTTGCGTTGGCGACGGCTGATTTATACTTTTCAGGTCATTTTGCGAGACGCCGCGAGTCGCACTTCACGTGGTCAACTTTTTTGCAACTAAAAAATGTTGTTCTCTTGGCAACGGGAAGTTGTGCCGGGAAACTGCAAAAATCCACTGACATGATGTGGTTCTCGTGTTTCTTTTCATTTTGAGAGAGACGAGCGCAAGAGCAAGAGCAAGATGGATATGGACACAGCGTTGGATGTCGCAGCAGCCTGTTTGCTGCTAGCTGCTGCGTTTCAGCGTCGGAGGACAGCACGGACCAGACGTTGGTGTGTTCGTCCGTATTACCAGCACAGGTTAGAGCGAGGGTCGTACCAGTCAGACATTGTGCAAATGAGAAGTGTAGACGAGAGCCTGCACTTCAAGTATGTGCGTATGTCCCCGGCTGTTTTCGACCGCTTACTCGTCCTGATAGAGCCGTTCTTGCCGGTGAGGCGTCAGCTGAATTCCGCAACAAGACCAGAAATCACCAATGCGGAACGATTAGCCCTGACGCTGCGATATCTGGCCTCAGGAGAGTCCATGCAGAACATTGCTATCCAGTTCCGTGTGGGCCACTCCACTGCCCACCACATCATTATCGATGTATGCCAAGCCATCTGGGCTGGTCTTGTGGACAAATACATGCAGTGCCCTTCAAAACCAGCTGAATGGGCTGCTGTAGCTACTGATTTCTACGCGAGGTGGAACTTCCCACACTGCATTGGTGCGATCGATGGGAAGCACATCAATATGCAAGCGCCTCACAACTCTGGCAGTAGCTTCTACAACTACAAGAACTTCCACTCCATCGTTCTTCTGGCCGCTGTGGATGCGCAATACCGCTTCATCATGGTTGACATCGGCGCCAGTGGTCGCGAAAGTGACGGCGGTGTGTTCTCTATGAGTGCCTTTGGCCAGTCTCTAGAGTCGGCATCAGCAGGTAATAACAAGACTAGCGCCAGTTTGTTTTTCATTAGACAAAATGCAATCCTAAAAAGAACAGTGCATGCTTCAGGCCTTTACTAGTATTAAAACACTTGTGAACTATCATTAATAAGAACAATAGTAATCGCAAGTTCACAGCGGTTTTCAAAGAACGTTTTCTTGTGACAATCATCTGTGGGATAAACATTACAATAACATCGCAATATTACATGATGGAACAAGCGATTTTATGAAGAGAGCGTGCAACATTTACATTTAGATAGAGAAAAATGCAAACTATAACTGAAGTGTTCAGGGTGGAAAGAGAGAGATGAAGTGAAACCATTGATTAAAGTAGTGTATGTGCCGACACAATCCACATGATCGGTGAAGGGATATGTACGAAAGGCTTTTTTATGTTTTTTTCTTTCTCTTTTTTTACTAGGTCTTCCTGACGCAACCGATTCCGTCCCCGGACTAGGTCAGCTCCCTTACTTTATGGTTGGAGATGAAGCTTTTCCACTTCGCTCCTACATGATGCGACCTTACCCTGGGAAGCAACTTTCAATTGACAAGCGGATCTTCAATTACCGGCTGTCAAGGTATGAGACTCCAAATGACCTCGGTTTCCATTCTTCATTCTGCTCCAATACCGTATTATCTCCATTAAAAGTCCCAGGTTTATATATTTTACAACCAGTCCGGGCCCTGGGTTTATAATTTTTCATCCATCTGGTACCTGTACATTGGTTGATATTTTTGTTTTTGTTATACCAGTAGCACAAGTGCTCAATTGCTCAAGGTCAAAAGGTTACAATTTGAAAATGTAGTCTGAATGTAGTCTGGAAAAATCTGTCTTTTACATTTTATGTGATTTAGTACTGTATGTTCTATGTAGGTAGTCTAGAGAGGGTCCAATGCAAATGAAATTGGTCAAAGTATGGTAGCAATAAAATGCATACTGTTCAACGACTGACCTCTGTATCCATCCCCTACCGTTATAGCTGCAGTACACACGATTTGTAGTGTTGCAGCATGCAACATTGGAGAACACCATTGCTTGTGCTGATATAAATACTTTTTTTCTTTCCTCACTTGTCCTCTGTAGGGCTAGACGCATTGTGGAAAATGCTTTTGGCATTCTTGTGGCTCGGTGGCGATTGTTTCGGCAGCCAATAAATGCGAAGCCTGAAAATGTTGTTCATTTCACGAAGGCCTGTGTAGTTTTGCACAATTTCCTCCAGACGGAGAGCAGCGCAACCTACTGTCCAAGTGGCTTCATTGACACAGACGTCAACGGTCGAGTGAGCGAGGGCTCTTGGCGGATTGACTTCAAGAACGGCGGACTCACTGACATTACCAAGGCAGCAAGCAACAACTTCACAAGGCATGTCAAGACATTGCGCGAGCAGCTGGCACGGTTTTTCTTGTCACCTGCTGGAGCTGTGTCCTGGCAAGTGGATGCTGTCACAGAAATTCATTGATGAGTGTTCTGGTCGGGCTTCCATTATTATTTTTTGTATTCTTCGTCCTGTTCTGTGTGTGTAGGTGTGTGTGTAGGTGTGTGTGTAGGTGTGTGTGTGTGTGTGTAGGTGTGTGTGTAGGTGTAGGTGTGTGTGTGTGTGTGTGTGTGCGCGCGTAGGTGTGTGTGTGTGCGTAGGTGTGTGTGTGTGTGTGTGTGTGTGTGTGCGTGCGTACCGTATTTCCCCGATTATAGGTCGCACTTGATTATAAGCCGCACCCCCATTTCCAGGTTTGAGCAATATTGTTTTGATATATTGACTCGATTGCAAGTCACCCTTTTCACCTTTTTCACCCTTTATTTTTATTTTTAGTGTAAAAAGGTGCGACCTATAGTCGGGGAAATACGGTAGATGCGTGTGTGCCGGTGTGTGTGCGTGTATGTGTGTGTAGGTGTGTGTGCCGGTGTGTGTGTGTGTGTGCGTGTGTGTATGGGTGTGTGTGTGTGTGTGCGTGGGTGTGAGCGTGTTTATAGTTATAATTTGTTGCTGGTTTTCTACTCCTCTTCTTATTCTTTGTCCGGGCTTCCATGAATATTTTTGGTATTCTTCGTCCTGTTTTGTGTGTGGGCGTGAGCGTGTTTATAGTTATTATTCTTTGCTGGTTTTCTACTCCTTTTCTTATTCTTTGTCCGGGCTTCCATTATTATTTTTTGGTATTCTTCGTCCTGTTGTGTGGGTGTGAGCGTGTTTATAGTTATTATTTTTTGCTGGTGTTCTACTCCTTTTCCTCTTCATTGTCCGGGCTTCCATGATTATTTTTGGTATCCTCCGTCCGGTTTTGCTGTTGTGTGTGTGCATGTGCATGAATTTGAGCAAGTGCGAATGTGGACTCTGCTTCGATCCCGTAATTACGTTTGCTCTGGTCTAGCTTTATCTGCAAGTCCAGATGTGTGAGCGTGTTTATAGTTATTCTTTTTTGGATATTCTTTGTCTGGTTTTGCTGTTGCAAGTAACTTGAGCTTGCTCACGCAATTACGGTAAATGAGGCATGCATATAAATGTTTGCATGCAAACTCATCTCTGCATCGTGTGTGCGTGCGCATGAATTTGAGCAAGCGTGAATGTGGACTCTGCTTCAACCCCGTAATGATGGGCGCTCTGGTCTAGCTTTCCCCGTCCTACGTTGGTTGTTTCATATTCCCTTATTTCCAGCACTCAAAAATAACTTGTAATAATGTTATCCATGGCTGACGATTCATCTGCATCGCCCCAATTTCCGGGAGAAATCTGACCATAAACAATCAATATACAGTGTTGCTCAATGAGATCTAGCCGCGTCATGACGTCAGTAAAGTACACGGCCATAGACCGGCGACACTGGGAAGAGGAATGCTGCAAGGCGCAAACTTGAGTGACGCGACTGGATTTCATTGACCAGCACTGTATTTTACATGGCCTGATGACCGGTATTCTGATCTGGCGATCATACAACTGCACAGAATCAATCTGACGATAAACAATCAATATTATGTTGGAATACATGACCTGATGACCGGTATTGTGATCTGGCAATCAAACAACTGCACAGAATCACTCCTCGAAGTCAGCCAAAAGCTGCTGAACTTTAGCCTTGAGCTGCGCCTTGTTTTTTCTGGACAAATGTCCCATGCTAAGGGCAAGTGCATTGCACCAGGTGGCGTCTTCGTTGTCGCTGGCTGGTGCATTTACCCTCTGCTTGGCCAGTGACAACACGGTGTTAGCCGTTGATACCAAACTACTAGTCAGGTCCATGTCGTCAGCACGCCGTTTCTTGGCCTTTGGTGCCGTTGCAATTTTCTCAGCTGGTGATGGCAGAGGTGGTGCTGATCGATTGGCGGGTGCTGGGCTGTCCAGTGCTTCCTCCTCTGAGCAATCCTCACCAAGAGGAGACAGGGCCAGAGGAAGAGAGGAAGCCGAGAGAGGGAGAGAGGAAGGCGAGAGAGGAAGAGAGGAAGAGAGAGAAGAGGTTGAGGGGGAATGAGGTACTAGTACAGCGGCAGGGGGGACACATGTTGCTTCGCCAGTGTTTGATGTCGTCGCCCTCTTCCTTATTGTTGAGTCTACAAAATTCATGCAACTCCATAAGTGCCATGCAGGAGCAGGAACACAGACGGTTCCGGAGCCACTCCGGGGTAACTTGGAGATGTGCTCCCTCTTCAGGCGCACGTAAGTATCGCGTAGATACTTAAATTTCTTTTGACATTCGGCGGGTGATCTCAGCTGGAGATCCTTGGCAGGTTGCGACTCTGCCACCTTCAGCCATGCACGCTCCTTCATGAATCTGGAAATAGCATGCACATGAAACAAAGAGGATTACAGGTATAAAGTAGATGAAGTGGTCGATGCGGAGACAACAATTTCAAGTAAGTAATGAACAATTGCAATTGAACTTTATAAATAGGGCACATTTCCTGCCATGCCAAGAACGAGGCTGATACTCGATATTATGTATCCCTGAGTACAGTGTGTGCGACCATGTTATGATCAAGCCTGTCCCAGTCACTGGCGGCATTTCATATTCCGAACAAAAGTGTTGAAACCCCAATCAAGCCATCCAAGTTCCACCCAATTCTGCATGCTATTATATAAGGCAGATCGATGTAATTACTGCGGTGTAGTGTGCAAATTCCAGCACATTCCACACTGGACAACTACATTGTAGACTAGAATAAATTTCTGTACATGTAAAATGGACAAGAAATGTGAAAGAACAAATCTACCTGTATGCAAGCAAGGCAAGTAACTCACTTGTCCTTGTTATGCTTTGAGGTTTTATCCCACAGACATCCGTACCGTCGCACCTCTTCAACAAAGTACTCCTCGTGGCTCGGCTTTCCTTCCACTACACTCACTTCAGGTGACTCGGGCTCGGGCTGAGAGTGAAAGCTGGAGTCTTGGAGCATCTCAGAAAACGATTGTGAATCTTCGAACGTAGCCATTGTCACAATACAAGGTGTGGAAATGAAAATCAGTAATACCAAGAGTACATAAACTGTTTAGGTACTCTTGGTAACACCGTACAGGAAGAGTAGACAGCAAGGAAATGAAAGCCAAATACAAAAAGTCTTCCTTGTCAACAACATGTTCTCGAGCTCCGGGAAATAATTCAAAAAGCAACTCGTACGAAAAACATTTGCAGACAAAAATACAATACACACAAAATAAATTGTGAACTCCTACGCGCCCGTGCCGCCATTGTTTTTACCATGGTGAAGCGCTGTCGTCTCGCATCGCTGTCGCGAAAAGTTGAACTTGGCCAACTTTGGCGTTTTGGTGTTTGCGTTGGTTTGCGAAGCAAGTGCGACGTCGCAAACTCAACGCATCGCATCGCATCGCGCTTTCGCGTCGCAAAAAATGAAGTATGAATCGGCCTTAAGGGCTTGTCGGGAGGGCTGGGGTGAGCTGTAAAATCCTGTACGATTCGTACGACACGACATGCAGCAGTCGTTGCGACGTTCAACGTCGAACGGCGCGAGTCATAAGGCGCGGTCCGTGACGGGGTGACTTTCGGACCTATTTTCTCGTTTTTCGGGACTTCTTTTCAATTATTTCTCCTTGAAAGAAGCGGAACCAAGTTCACAATACCAGTTTTTCATGAAGACCAAAAAATTAGCCCTGAAAGTTGTGGCATTCAAATGTTATTACCTGACGATGGCCAAGTGCCGAAACGTTGTAAAAATAACGGAACTGGTTCGGATGTGATGTGCAGCGCTATGGGAATGGGTGTGTCCACCCGAATTCTTTTCACAGATGAAGCTGCAGGAAGCCTCAGCCCTTCTTCAAATTAAAATATAGCAATAAAAACTGCTTTATGACAGTTTTCTAAAAAAGGTTATTGTGTTCTAGTCCATGGACCCGGTCTAAAAAGTAAGAAATTAACGAAATGTGATAGCTGAAAATTAAAATTTCACACAAAACCTCACAATAATCACAACACTTGAAATGCTGCTTTCAACGCTAAACTTGTACTGCACCAACAATTTTTTTTTTAACTTGGTAAACCGGCCTCTTGTACGGGCAGAATTTAGTAACACAGTGATTCAATAAAAACAAGTACCAGTAGTTACATACATGGACCATACGAGAAAAAGCAATGATGACGAGGCATAAACAAGTGTCTAGTGCTGTATGGCAGCTTCCGAGACAGCGAGTCGAGCGGATGACTCAGCCACCTCCGGGTGCGAATACAGCCGTCGTGCACCACGCAGGCAAGCCACGCCTGCACGGAGAAGGGCGAAGCTGAACCTGCAGCGGATCCATGCCATCACTGCAGAGTATGGCTCACCAGATTTGTCGGAGACCATTGCAGCTATTCTCTTGAGGAGAGCAGCAGCAGCTCGACCAGTACCACCAGTTGCAGCGAAAACCACAGGGATGAAGGTTCCACGCTCGACCTCCTTGACGCGCTGTTCGTATCGCCTCCGTTTTTCACGTTCATGACGCTGGTAGCAAGCGGTGATGGAAGAGGATCGATTTGAGGGAGCAAAGGGGTTGAAAACCCGAATATCGAGAAAGACTCTCTCAAACCGACCTCCCCAAACACCACTCGCCGCAACATCAAGTCGAGCCTGGTCTTCTGTGGAGGCAGTCTTGTAGCGGAGCTGCTCACCAGAGAGCGGTTGTAAGTGTGGCTCGATAGCGACACTATTGGCGACACGTTTCAATAGCGAGGCAGTGATGTCCCGCACCTCATTGTGTCGAAGTGACGGGAAACCTCCGGTGCTGCATGTCAGGGCATGGGCTACTGTGAAGCTGGCTCCACAGACACAGGTTGACGGTAAGCGAGAAGGCCGCCAGCCATAGCGCAGTGCCAAACCATCGCGGAACTCGCTTTTGGATAGCACAAATCCATGACGGGATAGCGGACGACAAGTAAGCCAGCTGGAGGCGCCAGGCTCACTTGCCAACTGAATTGTGTGCTGCAAAGTGGGCGATGCGTTGGCAGCGAAGCCACGGATGTCGGTCTTCGCTTTCTGGCGGTGATCTGCACGCTGTGACGCTTTGGCTCAGGCAACGCTGGCAAGAGCTTCCGTCACACTGAAGTCTTGGTCGAGGATGTTGGTGGTGAGCGCCGCTGTGATCGCGCGGGATGAGGCGTATTGGGTTGTTAGAGATGTTGGATTGACGATGACCAACAATTGGCAACATGCATGCATAGGAAAGAGGATCACGAGGGGAAAAGGTCTTCTTCATGTAGCTTTTCATTCTGTGTGTGATTATTGTGAGGTTTTGTGTGAAATTTCAATTTTCAGCTATCACATTTCGTTAATTTCTTACTTTTTAGACCGGGTCCATGGACTAGAACACAATAACCTTTTTTAGAAAACTGCCATAAAGCAGTTTTTATTGCTATAATTTCTTTTGTTTTTTCCGTCACCAATCAATGGAATGCCCTATATCAATATGTAAATGATGGCCTTCACATCATATCAATACCATAATTATTATACGCATTGATGGCAATTCTTTTCTTGCAGAAAATGGCACTAGCATAATGCATGTTCTTCTGCGGGGAAACATGTGAGCAGTGGTGGTGATACTTTTTTTATACGGAGGTCATTCTGTACATGTTGCTGTTGCAGAATTTCATGACTGTCATAAAATTGTCTTGCCTTTCAGATATTTCAGATTTCTCCACCCTCAATCAGATTTATTTGAGAAATGTAGCCATGCGCCAGGTGCGTGTCGCAGATGTTTTTGTTGATTCTGTGTTTATAATGGTTTATAGTCATGGGTTATCGTGATAAGGTCATCCAGCATCATATTGAAACTGAAATCGTAATCCTGTTGATGTCGATACAACTTTTGGAAGTAGTTCAATGACTTCAAACTGTTAGTCCACAATTGTCTAAAACAACACAGCAAAGGAGGAACAATAAACATGTATTAAAATGTAAACGAATACATTGCTGAGTCCAAAACCTCGTTCCAACAACTACACTGATCCTGAGGAGAAAAGGGGCAAGGCTATGGTTGGAGGTACTGAGAGATAAACAAGGCACTCCACAATAATAAAATCTTACACATCTTTTAGTGAG